CAAATCTAACAGTGTTTATGTAATTAAAGTTCAGAATATACCAACTAGTGCTGGCTTTTGTTGTTCTGTTGCAGAGACAAGCAGGAGTGACCCTCAGCGTGAAGGACCTGTCTCCTAGCATATAACCTGCCGGCGGTGTCACGGACAGAGCTTGGGCTTGAATTAAAGGACATTTTATTTTTTTTACTTTAGCACATAGTTTGTATATGTGAAAATAATGTACATTCTTTTACCTTTCAGGTTCTGATTTGATATACAAAGGGCTAAGATACTTTATTCTTAAAGAGAATTTTTGATTAGTCTTCATATATTTATCTACTAAAATGTACCATAAGATTCTTTCTTCTCAAGGATGGTTCTAGACTAAGCACATTGAATTCAGACTAGTTAAAATGGAGTTGTGTGATTATATTCAGTAGTTGATCACATGAGTTTTCCTGGAGGAAAAACTTTAGAACATGAAACTTGTAAATGTGATGAGAGAAATCTATCGCTTCCTTGCACCTCTGTACTATAGAGAGATTTCCAAACCTTAGAGCACTTTCATTGTTTTTTATTTGGAGTTATGGGAAAAGCACTGGTTGACTTTAGGATTTGCATTTCTCCCTCTCGTTACCTAATTTCTAACAACCTTGATGGGGAGGAAAGTTTTGTCCATTTTTTTCTATACAAATAAAAAAAGCTACGATTCCGTATTGCGCACGAGCATGAAGTTCTTCGTTGCTTGTTAAAGAAACGGAGTAGACAGACTCTGATGGGCTCTGATATGGCGTTTTTGGGGGTAAATGGTGAATATACCAATTCCAACTGCAGTTTAATCTCTACAATTATAAAGCGTGGTAGATGGGGACTTTCCATTGCTGTTGTAACAAAATGAACAAGTAACCGGTTTCCTTGATTAATTTTAAAGCAGACTTAATGGCGGTGACCTTGTTTAATCATCTCTTCTCTCTACTCTTGTTTGCTGTTCTTCCTTGGCAGTGGAGGTGGAGGGAGTGGGCTGTTCAAGCTTTCGGGGGCTGCTTTCTAAATTGATAAAGCGATTAAACAGACACACACACTGTCCTCACTTCTTAGAGGTGGAAGTCAAGGATGAGGAAGAGATTTTTTTAGAACTTGAAATTGTAGCCCTTTTTCGTTTCCAAACTAGTTACTGTGTGGATCTGTGTGGGTAAAAATACATGTTTATTAAGAATATAAATTTAAATAATTTATTTTTATAGCTGTTTCTAAGATGTAAAGTTCATATAGCTTATTTTTTTCAAACTATTTACTACACTTTGATTCCAGCCACTCAGTGAAATACTAGGTGAGTAAACAGTGGAAGTAAACTGAGGCCAGTTTCCATGTGAGGAGCTATTGGAATAGAAGTTGTCTTAGTTTGAGCTCTCATTTCAACAGACAGCCTCAGTAGGTTTCCATAATAGCAATTATCTTTGAAATCCGCCTTCTGTGGTGCATTGTGGATAGGAAAATATGTCCTTGATTTTATACTGAGTAGACTGTTTGCTCTTTGTATTTTAACACACACAGTAGGGAAAGATGCTTTAATTCTTCCCAGTAGCCAATGAAGCTGACTTTTAAAAAGAATACTGTGACAGATCAAGGTAAATTGTTTTTGATGATTATGGAAGTGTGAGTTCTTAATCAGTGGCTGTCAGCTAGAGCTTTCCTTCCTTAATTCAGAAGTTTGAACCCTAAGTTATAAATAGAAGAGATTGGAAAAATTATAGTGCTCTTATTTCTAGAAACACAAGTCTTTAACAGCAGATAAAGAAATTAGCAAGAGAAGACAAAACTTCAGTACCTCAAAAGGAAAATGTTTCCTTTGATACGCTTTTCTTAGGTGGAAATAAACATGATAAAGGGTCAAATATTACTAGAATTTTTGCTGAAATAGAAACTTGATAAAATGCTGGGAATCTGGGGAATGTCAATGAAGAAAGATTAGTAAATGAGAGATGTAGTTAAGGTTCTATTATTTATGGCAGTAATCGATTTCCTTCTGACAGTTGTCATGAAGACCATTTCTTCACAAATAATGTAGAGACAGTATTTTTTCTTTTTAACTGAGAGCCTCAGGCAGCCTGTGGAGGAGGGCAGTGTACCCATGGATGTGAACACCCCGCAGGCTATTGCCTGCCATGCTGCTTCCGGGCTTCCCATCAGAAAGCCACGACGCCCAGAGGGGAGGCGTACACACAGCACCTGGAGCAGGTAATAGCTCTTTGCATGCTGTCCTTTTAGGGATCTTGAATCCGCAGAGCCTTTCCTGAAAGACTGCTCCCTCCCTGTAGTTACTGAGGAATGATGACACTAAAAGGCCGAATTGCAGTGTGTCCCTCAGCAGTTGGCTCTCTGTGGGCGCACGATGACAAAACCTCCTGAAGCGAACCTCTGGTCTGACCTCAGTAATGTCAGGGCAAGATTTCCAAGATAGGCCTTTCCAGCGAGCTCAGATATTTTTAAGAAAAGATAATCAGTGAACCTTGGGGCAACTTCAGGGCTTGAACATGCAGTAAGTACCTCTCTACATGCTTTAGGATATACTTGCTGAATCAAAGACCACTAGACTCATGAAAACAATAACAACAGTAATAGACCTTCAGGAACCGGGTGTGTTTTTACATGGACACAATACCCAGCGTAACCAGATTCCCCAGTAAGATGGCTTCGTTTGGCTGTAGTCTTCCTTTGAGCACATTAAAGTTGATGTGATCAGTGAAGGCTGAGGTTAAGTGAGCATGCAGATATCACTAACTACAACCTGAGGTAATGACATGTTTTCGTCAGTTTCTTTGGGCTCACTGTAAGCCCTGCTTTGAGATTTACAGAGCATGGGACGCTGGCCTGCCCAGAGCTCGTCTCGTGTGGCGCACGCTGTGCTTCTGTGACGCAACAACCAACCAGAAAAGCCACCTACGCTTTTCCCAGTTAATTTTGTTTTTGAAGTTTTAAAAACACTTATAAGCATTTCATTCATCAAAAATACTAGTACTTGTATTACTGGTTATGAAAGTGAAACGTCTACAATATCATCAGCCATGCAGCTAGAGATCTGCCCGTGTTCTAACAGCAAAGTATAAATATAAAATAAGTTGTAAATCAAAAAAAATATCTGCATTACATTTGTTTAAAATGAGTACAAGAAAAGTCAATCCATTCTTTTTGGTGAGTTGTAGGCTTGTGTATTAAGGGCTAAAGAGAAACTTGAGAACACTAGTACTTTCTGTTGGGCTGATTACAGTTACTGAATCCCAGGATTATGGAAGTCCTTTCCTCAAGGATTTTCCTCATAAGAACAGTAGTGACTGCATAAAAAGAAAAGACCAGGTACAAAAGGCAACTAGCAAAATCTCTTGGTACAGGGTGCAGGAATTTTAACAAGTATGTAAAAAGTTCTTCCCATGCGTTAATTTTCCATTTTAACCCTCAAAATATTTTAGGGATATCACCCTAATAGCATTTAAAATAAATGTGTGATCCACTGTTCACCACGGGAATGTGAATCATCACAAAATGCATAATACAGTAGTACACGCTACTTAAAATTTATGAAAGTATATCGGTATTCTGTAAGAATAAAAATTGAGTGATACCATTTCCTTAAAGTTACTTAACGAAATAATACTGTTAAAGAGAGGTATTTGAAATAGTTAAATTTTAGGATTGCAAATGCTTTTTTGAACTTTCTACCCTAAGATGTCATCTTCTTAACAGGTCTCCTTGCCGTCTTCTTTTTAACAGGTAATGTGAAGATACTAAAGCTACAACAGATTGGAACTAAAAGTCCAGAGAATTCAAGGTGTGGTTTTTAAAAAACATGACAGTTAAACTGAACTCGTCTGATGACACTTAAAAGTTGACTGCAGTTTATTGAATCCCAGGATTATTGTTTCTTTTATTTCAGGTAAACTTTCTTCTACTTTTAAATGTTTAATGAAGAACTTTTTGCTGGTGGTGTAACTGTATCTTGACTGGTTTTTTTTTAATGTTCTCTAAATATAATTACTATTCTTTGTAAGCTATTTATTTAAAATAAATTTGAAAACCTTTCCTCTGTCAAGTAAACACCAGTACTGTAATCTGGAAACGATGCACAGTGGTCTGTCTTTAGTCTCAGGCCATGTCTGCAGATGTGCCCACAGAAGCACACTTGCAGCTCCAAACCAGTGTGTGTAGCACATCTGCGGTGGCTCGTGGACACCCCGGGGGCAGTGACCCTGCTGAGCTGCTGGCACGCGCCCTACCAGGTGAGGCTGGATGGGAGGATGCTGTCTTCTAGTTTCAGCTCAGACTGTCAGCAGGTGTCCTTTTGTGCTCTATGTAGTCCCACATGTCCGAAATGTTGTGCTTCTCGTTGGTGATTTCAGTTTGGAACGGACCCCAGGCACAGTGCTGTCGCCCTGGCTGCTGCTCCTGAGCGCTGGTGAGGTACCTCACTGAGAAAACTCGCGTTAGGCAGCGACGTGCGTGCGTCCCGGGGCTGCCAGCCAGGAGGCTCAGCGTGACCAGGAATCGGCAGGGCCTGGAGCCTGAGGTTGGGAGGCTTGCGGCGAGGCGCGGTCGACACTTCACCATTCCAGAGAGTATGTGAATAATGAACTGTTTCTTTGCCCAGTGGTAACATGCAAAACGGTGATGCCAGCCATTAGGTGCTGAGAGAAGTCAACTGTTGCCATCATTTAGATGTCTGAAGGTGCACCTGTTATATCAGTTTGGGTCCTTATTTCCTTGAAGCAAGTATATTTATAAATCACTACCCTTCGCAAGAATAACGAAGCTAAAATTTCTCATAAATCTAAGAGTACTGTTTTGCCAATATTACAAGGTGGGAATCTGTACTCATCTTAAAACCCCTCGGCTTGGTATCCTTTAACTTTTGCTAAGGGTTGGATTGGGAGGTGATTCCTGTTCCTATGAAGAATACGCTTTGAAAGTACCTCAGCAGATGGGGAATTTTTCATGATGTCTTTGAGTGAAAAATACATCAGATAATATAGAGTTCATAGAAAAGTTTAATGTAAGGCACTGCTGTCCAGAGTTAAATGAGGGGTTAAACAGCCCACAGGACGCCACGGGGAGGGCACAAAGCCCACTCGGTGAGCAGCCGTGCAGCACGGCCCCCGGTGCCGTCCTTCCTCCTGAAGTACCGACGCTCTTTTAGACTGTTAACAGGAGAGAAGGCCCAGAAAACTACCAGCTCTTATAGTCTCGGAAAAGGTTTCTAAGAATTCCCACGTCTGTAGGCAGCCCACTGTTGTCTCTTAGGTCCCCATGACAAGAAAGGATAAGGTACACGGGTGTCCGAGGCTCACACTGCACCCAGTGAGAAGTTCAAGGGTCAGAATACCGTCATGTGATGATGACTCAAGACCTCAGGGGCAGTAAGGCAGGTTCTTGAGAGTGTCTTCAGTTTACTCTCACTAAACACTTTCAACGTTGAAACCTCAGGAAAACGGTATTCTTGCCTTATCTGAAGCCCGTGACTTACATCTTAAGCAAAAACAGGCACCTTGCTCTTCAGCTGAAGACCTCATCTACTTTGTGCAGTGACTTCGTTTGGGATGACAGCCCCAATGGATAATCATCAGTGAGACACCTACAAGACACATTCGTCCAAGTTCTTACCAAAAATTCATCTAAAGAAAAAGTCATCCAGGAAAGCAAAACTTTGCTTTAAGTGGATAAACTGGTGTTTATACGCATTAAAGCCAAGCAATCACTCAGGGTCTGAACACTTTTAAAAATGAAAAGCACAGCATAGCTGAACGATGAACAGGTGGTCCCGACGAGCTATCACTTGGACATCTTGGTCTCAGAAGGTGCCTCCCCAGTGTCCAAGGTCTTCAACAACCGGAAGAGGCCTGCAGCTTCTCGTATCCTGCTGAACTCAATACAGAAGGCCTGCACTTCTATAAACAAGTCCTGCACGTTGATGATTTTGTTACGGATCAAGGACTGGAGAAAGACACACACGAGACGCACCAGACGATTCTGAAAAAGAAACTAATTTTAGTGTGCGTTTTCTGGGCAGGTATTTATAAAATTTACAAAAATTTCTCTTACTTACCTGCATATATTTATCTTTAATTTGTTCACAGGTAGAAATGCAATTTGATATATAAAGGTGAATAAATTCAGGAGGTAGATCAACAGCTGTAGTTAGTCTGTTTCATAAAGTTAGAAAGGGCTGTTAATTTTATTAGCTAATAACATTTTAAAACACCGTTCACCATAAAATCTAAAATTTCCTTTGGTCATTTAGTGAAAAATTCTGATATATAATCTAGTTACCTAGTTTTAAAGAAGTTTATGCAAGTAAACCTCGGAGCCCCCCCCCCCCACTGCCGCTAATAAGTGACACTTCCTTTTCTCAGGTCTACACTTAGCATTACACGTGCAATACGCATTGAGCACCATGTCCCTGTGTGTTCCTGGCTGAATCAGAATTCATAGTTATCGTCCAAGCTCTAACAACCCGGGCAGTTATTCTGTCCACGTAAGTACCGCTTACTAACCTGATTACAGACGAGTGCTATGCAAGGAACGCATGTGAAGGAAGGCGTGGTAGTAACTGAACAGCACAGTGTATAACTAAGTGCTAACATGTGGCGTTTGCACAAAGAGTGATGTAAGTGAAAGACTCGGGAAAAGTCAACAGAGCAAATGACTTAAATGGAAACCCAAGGAGAGAAGTGGTGTCCTTCCAGCTAAGTGGATAATCTGAGTGAACTGTGGAATCGGGGATGGGCGTGGCACACTCAGGAGCTGGTGGGAAAGCCCTGGCTGGAAGGTAGCAAAAGGCACCTTGGTCTAGAGTCTTCAAGGGGCGGCTGGTGTTTTCCAAAGGATTCTGTGAAATGTTTTAAGGTGGGGTGGGGGGAGGGTAAAGTAGGAATCTCATGCTCAGATAAAGGTGTGTGCTATGCTAACTATACAGTATGAATTTCCAAAAGTTTTCTAAACTTATTTGATTATAGAACTTTTTTCCACAAGGCTGAGGAACCCGTGCTCCAAGGAAACACCACCTGTGGGTGATGCACCATGATGGGGGTGGCGCACGCAGAGCAGACCCTGTCCTTGAAATTACTTCTGCACCACTGATAAAAAGGTGCGGGTATTCTCGGACTAAGTGCCTAACGGCTGGTTTAGACAGTAAGCGGGCACTTAGAGCATGGTCGGCCCAGAGGCCCCGAGCAGGAGGCAGCCCCCAAAGAGGAGTGAGTCTCAGTAACAGGGAACGGCCGAAGGCCTGGAGGAGAGCGCAGAAATGAAGCCGCAGGTCAGCAAGCGGCCAGCCGGTTTTGCCGGCACAGAAAGTTAAAGGTGACTACCTCGTGCTTCCCTCCCACAAATCTGCGTGCTCCTACACACACGCTTGGGATCCCTCGGCTTCCAGCCAGGCTTTTCCCACCAGCTGATTATAACTTCATTGTGGTTTTTTTTGTTTTGGGGGGGTTTTTTGGCTACACCATGTGGTTTGCAAGATCTTAGTTCCCCCACCAGGGATGGAACCTGGGCCCTTGGCAGTAAAAGTGCAGAGTCCTAACCTCTGGACCGCCAGGGATTCCCAGGACATATTCTTTAGTACAGCTTTAAGTAGGTTAAAAAACAATCCCCAACTTACAAACGAGTGAGTGTTCAACTGAAGTGCAGTTGCGTAGCACTCAGAATGGACCGCCCCATGAGCAGAAAAACTATATAATTTAGCCCCCGGAACAAGACACCACATGGAGCAGAGCTGAGGATGAGAAGCCTAAACTGGGACCACATCAGGCAAGCCTGCACATATGGCTACACTACCCACAGACAGCTTAATAAACAGTAGGCTCCCAAGCTAACCCCCCCAAGCCTATGGAATTTGTAATTTACCTAAGACATATTTGTAAGCAAAATAACAAAGTGAGAAACCACTACTCGGAGCACACAGAGAAGGGAATGTATTGTTTCCCTGACAGTTGGTGACAACGGAGCAAGGAGGCCAAATCAAAGAAAGGTTCAGAGAACAGTGCGAGGAACGACGAATTCTAGGAAGGCATTCCCAGAATTTCCTCAGCTCCCAGACCCATACTGATAACAGCTGTTAGTCTCTAACGAGAAATAATGCAGTATCTGTAATTTGTGTAAAGAATATACAACCATACGTAGGAGATAAATCTTAGCGATTAAGTTTCACTGATGCTGCTACTAGTGCGAAATACTTGGAATACTCTCCAAGTTCACATGCAGTCAACACTAAGGCTCAGATTATTTATTTAATGGGTTTTCTCAGACTAACAGTGTATTATCAGGGGGAAAAAAACTTGCTGCTTTTTCCCTTCTAATCATTTAATCCGGATCTATATACACACCCCTGTCCGCATTTGATCGCGCATAGAAACTTACCGGTTTACAACTTCCATTGAATGTAATGACATGTCCATATTGACCAGAACCGAAAAATACTCAGTGATCTGGCTTGACTGCATTAACTTCAGCAACATTTCTATAGCGACTAGAGGGTTGTTTTCCACTAGGTCAGGAAGCTTGGCTGGAGTGAGGCCAATATGATAAACAAGTTTGGGGTCCTTTTCCAACTCTCCAAGGAGCTAAATATAATCAAATTTTTAGAAAGAGAAAAACAGAGGTTCCTGAGTCAAATGAGGAATTGTCTTTCCTGCATGCGTACAAAAAAACAAAGTATTTTTATAAAGAAAAGTTATAAAATTATCTGCACTGAACCAACTTTATAAATGTCTTCCTTCAAATCCATGATCATCATTCTTTGATATTTTAAACTTTACATTTTAAATGTCAGATACTAAAACCAGGCACCTTCACAACAGTTTATAAACGACACTAATGCATCCCGGGCATTAAACCAGAATCAGTATTGTTTGAATACTGTGTGGATTTTAACAATATCATCCTTAAGTCCTTTGTAGGTTTTTTTTTTTCCATGTCATTTGTTAAAAATAATCTTACCGACTAGTTCTCCGGAAAAGCACAGATCACAGAGATCATCGGGGAACATCAGGAACCAAAGCCCCACCCAGCGCCGAGGGGAACAGATGCCTGAGGGGGGGACGGGCAGGGGGGAGGGGCTGTCTGCCCGGCACACTGCACACGCTCACTCACATAGGTGTCCTCAAAGACAGTTTCTTCTGCCAAATTGGTACATTCTTAATGTTCTGTGCTCCTTGCCCTGTCTCCGTGTATGTACACACGCACTGTTGCATGATGGCCTGGTAAGCAAAATGAACTACGCTGGAAATGTAGCTCCTGGCAGGTTCTAATGTGAAAGTGTACCAACTGAAGAATAAAGCTCACCAGCCGGAACCGCCCACGGTGTTCTGCCTTTCCCCCGCGGGAAGCGTCACAGTTGGGTGCGGGGGCGCTATTCTGAATCCACCATTAACCAGCTGTGTGATGGGTGCTAGTTTACCTTCCTGGTTAAATGTTAATGATTCCGCTTACCCTCCTGGAGTCCTGTCCAGCTTAGTAACAATGTACACAAAGCGCCCGGCAGCGCAGAGCAGGAGTGCGCGCCATCCTACGCTCCAGAGTCAAACTCATCCCACACAAAAGTCGCTAGGTTTTCGGGCACCAGGCTTCGAGCCCCACCAGAGTGAAGTGAGCCGGGGGGTGGGGTGGGGGGTGGGCAGAACAGAGCTTCAGAGCCACGCCTCCTGCTGCTGGCTCACGCTGCCAACATCACGTTACTGGTCATTTATCACTTTATGAAAAACGAAAACACCTGGTGAATTAAATACAGGAAAATGTTTACAATAAATCCATACCTGTGTCTGCTGAGGAGAAGATAAGGGGCTTTTGAAGGCTTTGGCCATTATTCGCTTGATCTCTACGCCAGTGCTGTTCTTCACACACATCGACTTGTCCCACTGAACCGCGTGGTCGGGCTCGGTTGGATTGAGCCAAGCCAGCTCATCCTCACACACGTGGAGCGGAGGTGGTGGACGGATAAACTCCGGCCGAAAATGGCCTGTAATCAAAGTAGCGTGTCTGACTGCTTCTGTCACTCGGCTGACCCCGCAACGTGTGTGTATAAACCTCACAGATTCCGCTTAGTGAAGTGCAGTGACACCTCTTAATAAGGACAACACAGCAACACTCTGACTTGAAAATTAGAAGCAGAAAGGACATAAAGGCAGGGTTTTATTCAGAACACAAGAAACTGAAACACTGACATAACATTATGATGTCAGAGACCAAATCTATTTTGGGGGAGGAGAGGAAAACATTACCACCACCTGACAAGTCCTAGTTCAAGCATGATCACCACTCAATCGCAGAAGGACACAACTTACTCCATGGGTAAGTCTGGATGGGAAAAATAAAACACTAGTTGATCTCACTCATCCTATTCTCAGCACAATTTTATTCAGAGACCATATGATGTGTACTGGTTTTATTTTTGCATCTTATAACCCTGAAGTAGCAAATTATGTGGAGATGAAATGGTAGGGGAAAGGTACGGTTGACTATTGACATGCTCAAATGAATCTGGACTTTCATAAACCCCTAAATTCACAAATGCTGTATCATTTTCTTAAAACAGTAAAAATACAACAGAACAGTGAAGTCACTCAATTTAATACCTCAACTATTTTACAAAACAAGATTGATCCCTAAGTTACAAACCCACTAAAAGAAATGCTGTCTGGGACTTCTCAGCAAATTTCACCCCTCACTTTGGTTCCCACGTAGGGTCTAAGATGGCTAACTAACTCCTCATGGACCGAGCCCCGGCCAAATTTGAGATTACTAGGTCCCCTGGTTTACTGAAAATGTCTGTGTCTGGCTAAGAATCATCCCTTTGTCTTAAACTACACCATCTCTTCACATATATCGCCAGAACTAGCACCTGAATCTCTGCAGCCCATTTACAAAAAGAAAGTTTTTAACATTTCACGAGAAGTTATACCTATGTGATAAAGAGAAAGTTCCCATGAGGCAAGGATGCCTGGTGTTCAGCTAGACTCAGACCTAATATCTGATTGACTTGCTTCTTACACACCTTTCCAGTGGCCCATTCAAGTCAAAAGATGTGCCCGAGCAAGTATTAAATACAACCCATCTGTGCCTTGGACCTTCCCACACACTGTGACTAGCTGAGACTTATTTATTCCAAAAACCTACTGTAAATGGCATTAAAAGTCACAGTGTAAGTTTTAAACTCAAGGTGACACTATAGTCTGGAGAACATGTTCTTATCCCTAAGCAGAAAGCATGCCTTCATCATTAAAACCACACAGAATCGTATAAAACCAAAAAATGCAGGACTCCCTGGTGGCACAGTGGTTAAGAATCCGCCTGCCAATGCAGGGGACACAGGTTCAAGCCCTGGTCCGGGAAGATCCCACATGCCGTGGGGCAACTGAGGCTGCATGCCTAGAGCCCGTGCTCCGCAACAAGAGAAGCCACTGCAATAAGTGCATGCACCGCAACGAAGAGTAGCCCCCGCTCACCGCAACTAGAGAAAGCCCACGCGCAGCAACAAAGACCCAACACAGCCAAAAATAAATAAATAAATTTTTAAAAAATGCTCTATTATTTCAAGTTCAATAGGAGTTTTCTTTGAATTAAGAGCTAGCTATAAGATCAGTAAAACTTCAATGGAAAATGATAAGATTAATGAAGTATAAAACAAAAAGGTAATAAACTACAAAAATAAACTCACTTCAGTAAAATCAGAGAATTTATATCCTTAGATATGCTGATGATAGGTATGTAATAAAAAATACTTGGGATTTTTTGGCTGCATCATATAGCATGTGGGATCTTAGTTCCCTGACCAGGGATGGAACCTGCACCCCCTGCAGTGGAAGCATGGCATCCTAACCACTGGACCACCAGGGAATTCCCAAAACCTTGGTATTTTTATTAAAAAAGAAACTAACTTTTTTTTTTTAAAGTTTTTAAAATTAATTTATTTTTGGCTGCATTGGGTCTTTGTTGACGTGCAGGCTTTCTCTAGTTGTTGTGAGCAGGGGCTACTCTTCGTTGCTGTGCACGGGCTTCTCATTGCGGTGGCTTCTCTTGTTATGGAGCACAGGCTCTAGGCGTGTGGGCTCAGTAGTTGTGACTCATGGGCTCTAGAGCGCAGGTTCAGTAGTTGTTGCGCACGGGCTTAGTTGCTCCGCGGCATGTGGGATCTTCCCAGACCAGGGCTTGAACCGGATTCTTAACCACTGCGCCACCAGGGAAGCCCAAGAAACTAACTTTTATTGAGCATCTCTACTATGTTCCAGACACTATACTAGGAAGTTTCTCACTAAATTCATGTTTAACATTCTCTGACATAAATCCTACCAATGTTTTCTTAGGTCATTCTCCCAGGCAATAGAAATAAAAGCAAAAGTAAACAAATAGGACCTAATCAAACTTACAAGCTTTTATACAGCAAAGGAAACCATAAACAAAATGAAAAGACAACCTACAGACTGGGAAAAAACATATGCAAATGGTACGACCAACAAGGGTTTAATTTCCAAAACATACAAACAGCTCATACAACTCAACAACAGAAAAAAACAAACAACCCAATCAAAAAATGAGCAGACCTAAAGAGACATTTCTTCAAAGAAGACACACAGATCACCAACAGGCACATGAAAAGATGCTCATCATTAGAGAAATGCAGATCAAATTAAAACTTCAGTGAGATACCACCACACACCAGTCAGAATGGCCATCATTAAAAAATCTACAAATAACATGCTGGAGAGGGTGTGGAGAAAAGAGAACCCTCCTACATTATGGACGGGAATGTAAATTGGTTCAGCCACTATAGAAAACAGTATGGAGGTTCCAAAGTTACCTTCTGATCCAGCAATCCCACTCCTGTGCATATATCCAAACTCTAAGTCAAAAAGATACATGCACCCCTATGTTCACAGCAGCACTATTCACAATAGGCAAGACATGGAAACAACCTAACTGTCCATCACCAGATGAAACGATAAAGAAGATGTGGTATATTTATACAATGGAATATTATTAGGCCATAAAAAAGAATGAAATAATGCCATTTGCAGCAATATGGATTCACCTAGAGATTATCATACTATGTGAAGTCAGACAGAGAAAGACAAATATCATATGATATCACTTATACGTGGAGTCTAAAATGTGACACACATGAACTTATCCATGAAACAGAAACAGACTCACAGACATAGAGAACAGACTTGTGGTTGCCAAGGGGAAGAGGGGATTGGGGAAGGATGGATTGGGAGTTTGGGATTAGCAGATGCAAACTATTATATAGAGAATGGATAAACAACAAGGTCCTACTGTATAGCACAGAGAACTATATTTAATATCCTGTAATAAACCAAAATGGAAAAGAATATGAAAAAGAATGTACATATATATATATATATATCCATATAACCGAATCACTCTGCTGTACAGCAGAAATTAACACAACACTGTAAATCAACTGTACTTCAATAAAATAAATTTTTAAAAATTCACATTTAAGGGCTTCCCTGGTGGCGTAGTGGTTGACAGTCCGCCTGCCGATGCAGGGGACACAGGTTCGTGCCCCGGTCCAGGAGGGTCCCACATGCCGCGGAGCGGCTGGGCCCGTGAGCCATGGCCGCTAAGCCTGCGCGTCCGGAGCCTGTGCTCCGCAATGGGAGAGGCCACAGCAGTGAGAGGCCCGCGTACCGCACACACACACACACACAAAATTCACGTTTAAGTATCAACGAAAACAACATGATGTTTCAGAAAACCAGAAAGTCTCAGGGGGACGCTGATAACATAAAACCAAGAATACAAAATTAGATATACCTACTTTCAATAGGTGGCTTTGGTCCACTGACTAAAGCTTCCGTGATCTGAGAGGCAACGGAGCTGTCAAATCCAGAATTAGAAGAATCCGGGTCTGGGTCGCTGAGAATGCTAGGGAAGCTGGCCTTACTTTGAGTTGGCAATTCAGACTGGCGTTCTGAAATAGATTAAAATAGGAAACACTTCAAAACTGAGGGCACCACAAGGAGAGTGAAAAGAGAAGCTACTAAATGGAGAAAGTTATCTACAACACATAAACAAAGGGCCAGATTCAGGATAGATTATCAATTTTAAAAAATAGGAAAAAATGGGCTAATGACTTCCAACAAGTGTTTTATTTTTAAAAAGCCTGAGGCTTCCCTGGTGGAACAGTGGTTTCGAATCCGCCTGTCAATGCAGGGGACACGGGTTTGATCCCTGGCCCAGGAAGATCCCACATGCCGTGAAGCAACTAAGCCCGTGTGCCACAACTACTGAGCCTGTGCTCTACAGCCTGTGCTCTGCAACAAGAAAAGCCACGACAATGAGAAGCCCGCGCACTGCAAGCAAGAGTAGCCCCCGCTCGATGCAACTAGAGAAAGCCCATGTGCAGCAACGAAGACCCAACACAGCCAAAAATAAAAACAAATAAATAAGTATTTTTTAAAAAGCTTGTATGGCCAATAAACATCTGAAAAGATATTCAATCCCATTAGGAACCAGGGGAAAATCTGTTAAAATGAGATACTATTGCACACACACTGTAGTTATAACTGCCCCTTGTGGTTACTGATGTTTAACTTGTCTGCTTGTTTTCTTAAAGTTAGGAAAATGCAACTGCATCATCCATAAGTACACCTTTGGTCCCTGGATCCCACTGTAAAGACATCTGAATTTCAGGCCAGCCTCCGTACAGATGATCTGTGTGGCTAGCTCCAGAGAAGATAGGTGTACTTCCCTTTTTTTCTTAAGCACTTGTGAAAATGATTAAGACATCTTCAGTCTGGGCAGAGGACAGCAAACAGCTCTAGGGGACAGCCAGCTTAGCCACTGTGCCAAGCCTCTCAATCCTAAGTCTAGTCATATATTCCTTTCTGAGCTTGACGTACTTTATAAATTTATTTTATTTATTTATTGTTGGCTGTGTTGGGTCTTTGTTGCTGTGCCCAGGTTTTCCCTAGTTGCAGCGAGCGGGGGCTACTCTTCATTGTGGTGCGTGGGCTTCTCATTGTGGTGGCTTCTCTTGTTGTGGAGTTGTGGAGCGTGGGTTCAGTAGTTGTGGCACACAGGCTCTAGAGCACAGGCTCAGTAGTTGTGGCGCACGGGCTTAATTGCTCTGCGGCATGTGGGATCTTCCCAGACCAGGGCTTGAACCTGTGTCCCCTACATTGGCAGGCGGATTCTTAACCACTGCACCACCAGGGAAGTCCCTGAGCTTGATGTACTTTAAAACTTTCTCATGGGCTGATTCAAGTCATCACAAGTTGAAAAGGAAATTAGATTTGATTCTTACTTTATTGAATACAAAGCTAGAAACCTCAGAATATACGTCACTTCTAAAGGTAAGGTGACTGAAATTGCCCATCACCTCGGCAACCAGTTTTCATAGTGTCTTTGGTTAAGAAAATAATTATTTTATTTCTGTTAATAGATTGCATCTGGCAGTAGTAGCTAACAAGTACTTTTGTGTACCTTCAATCTTAAAAGTCTGAAAAAGAGTTCTCTTAGTTTCAGAAAATAACCATTGTTATATTGTTAATATTTAGTACTTTAAAAATAAGGTTCAGGGCTTCCCTGGTGGCGCAGTGGTTGAGAATCTACCTGCCGATGCAGGGGACACAGGTTCAAGCCCTGGTCTGGGAAGATCCCACATGCCGCGGAGCAGCTGGGCCCGTGAGCCACAATTACAGAGCATGCGCGTCTGGAGCCTGTGCTCCGCAACAAGAGAGGCCGTGATAGTGAGAGGCCCGCGCACTTCGATGAAGAGTGGCCCCCGCTTGCCACAACTAGAGAAAGCCCTCGCACAGAAACGAAGACCCAACACAGCCAAAAATAAATAAATAACAAAATACTTAGAAAAAAATAATAATAAGGTTCAGGGCTTCCTTGCTGGCACAGTGGTTGGGGATCCACCTGCCAATGCAGGGGACACGGGTTCAAGCCCTGGTCTGGGAGGATCCCACGTGCCGCAGAGAAACTAAGCCCGTGCGCCACAACTGCTAAGCCTGCGCTCTGGAGCCCGCGAGCCACAACTATTAAGCCCGCGTGCCACAACTACTGAAGCCTGCGCGCCTGAAGCCTGTGCTCTGCAATAGGAGAAGCCACTGCAGTGAGAAGCCCGCACACCGCAACCAAGAGTAGCCCCTGCTCGCCACAACGAGAGAAAGCCTGCGCACAGCAACGAAGACACAGTGCAGCCAAAAATTTAAAAAATAAATAAATAAATAAAATAAATTAAAATAAATAAGGTTCAGAATGCCCCAAGGAAAGAGAAGATTAGATGTCACCTTATACAAGATGCCAAATGTCACAGGGCATGAAGTCTAAGGATGAGGCACTATCAAATTAACCCTGCAGCTCACTTAATCACGAAGTCAAGGGTTCACAAATCTGGCTACAGATTATAATTTCCCTAATGAATTGCTCTCAGGTGATGAGACCCATGCATCTGCACTTCTGCTTAGAGCAGGTTAGCAAAAGCTGCTCTTCTTTATCCTTACACGGAGAGGCTCTCCCTGACCACCCTGTTCAAGGTCTCCTTATTTTCTATCACTACAGGAGTTTGCTTCAAGACCACCCATTCATCTGCTTATACGTGTAACAGAAGGTGCCCAAATAATCTTGAAACAGAAGAACAGGGTGGAGGTCTCACACCTCTCAATTTCACAAAAGCTACTGTATGACTTGGATTAGTGTCCTGCTCCCCTGCAAATAAAACCCTTTTTATTTGGGGAAAAAAAGCCACCCTAATCAAAAGGGTGGTACTAGAATAAGGACAAATAGACCGGGCTTCCCTGGTGGCGCAGTGGTTAAGAATCCGCCTGCCAATGCAGGGGACACGGGTTTGAGCCGTGGTCCGGGAAGATCCCACATGCCGCAGAGCAACTAAGCCTGTGCTCTAGAGCCGGCGAGCCACAACAACTGAGCCCACATGCCACAACTACTGAAGCCCGCATGCCTAGAGCCCATGCTCCGCAATGAAGAGAAGCCACCGCAATGAGAAGCCCACACACCGCAACGAAGAGTAGCCCTGCTCGCCGCAACTAGAGAAAGCCCGCACGCAGCAACCAAGACCCAACGCAGCCAAAAATATAAATAAATAAAAATTAAAAACAAAAGACAAACAGACCAATGACGTGGAATACAGAGCCCAGAAATAAACCTTCCCATATAAATATTCAAATGATTTTCGATAAAGGCGCCAAGACGACACTGTTTCAGCTATTCTGGGTCCCTTGAGATTCCATATGAATTTTCTATTTCTGCAAAACACATTGTTGGGATTTTGATAAGAATTGCATTGAATTTGTAGATCGCTTTGAGTAGAAGTGACATCAGGAAAATTTTAAACGGACCAAGTTTTACTCAGCATTCTTCTTAAACTGGAAAAGCAATCAATTCAAGTGAAAACTCAAAAGGAAATTTATATCCCATAATAGCAAGGATCCAGTACTGAAGCTATGTTTTTCACAGAAAATACTAACTTTTTAGTACAGTTACAAAGACCTTCATTTAAATGGAGTACCTCAAGAAAAAAGGCCTAATGCTAGCACACAAAGATGCCTGAAGCGGGATCCCTCCTTACCGGCCAGGGCTAGCTGAAGCCCGCTAATGTCCACAGACTGGCCCATGTTTCCGACGTCCATCAAGGCAATCTGTCGCGGTGTCTTTTTGAAGAGTTCCCGTGGAGGGGCCAGCATCAGCTGGGAAAGGAAAAACTTCTCTGGCGGAGTTATAGGAGGCAAAAATCCTGTAAACAAAAGAACGTACAGCAGTTTCTCTAACGGTTATTTTTAAAAATTATCTTGAGTCTGGTAAAATTAGCATTTGCTACTTGTCACCTCAATTCATGTACCTTTAAAGACAAACTTACAATTGAAGATTCATTTAACCAAATAGATACATTCATCAAAATGTAATTAAATAGTGTCCCTGAGAAGGACTGGTTCCAGGACACCCTGCGTATACTAAAATCCAAGGATGCTTGGGTCCCTTATACAAAATGGTGTAGTATTTGCATGTACCCTACACACATCCTCCCTTATACTTCAAATAATCTCTAGATTAACTGTATGTCAACTGAAATTCTATGATTTGTGGCAATGAAACTTAAGGTTTTTGTAACTATTAACTTTGTTTTGGGGGATTCTCTGGCAGTCCAGTGGTTAGGACCCGGCGCTCTCACTGCTGGGGCCCGGGTTTGATCCCTGGTGGTAGGGGAACTAAGATCCCGCAAGCCGCACAGCACCACCAAAACAAAACAAAACAAAAAAATCAACTTTGTTTTCTAACATGCTTCAATTCCTGCAAAGGCTGAAGCTTACATATGCAGGCAAAAACAACAACAACAAAAGCTACAATGCTCAGAAATGCTTTTCTTCTCTACTGCCACCAGCAACTGTGTAAAAGTTAAAGAGACAAGGAAGCAATCACTAGCTCCGCAAATACACTTCACACACCTGTTTCAGTCCACAGCACGGCTACAATTCCCAGAGTGCTGGACATTGATGCTTCCCTTTCATCCCAGAGCCGCCCGCTTACCCGGCGGCGGCCATCCTACCGCAGCACCGCACTGTGGCCAGACCCTGTTCCAGCTCCCAGCTGGGACTCCTACCCACTCACCGCCCACAGTCCACACGCCCACTTACCAATGAGTTATATTTCTAGGTACAAATCTGCTCACAGATTTTTAATTCTGTTTACACAGAATTAACCCCAAACTTCTGCACCATTCATAAGACCTTCCTAACGTGGTCCTGACCCACTTTCCTAATCCCATCTCCTGACCCCCCTCCAATCCATGTGTTCTACACTCCTGTTGCATAAAATCTCTCACTTTCTCTGACTCCTGATTTCAAAACAACCAATACACGCAGCTCTTTAAGAATACGTGACAGGGCCACACCCTTCTCTCCCCACCATCTCTAATCAATATCCAGCAAAAACATCACCCCCTCTCAAAGTTCCTCCAGCTAAACAGCTGTAGTTCCTGTGCTACGAGGTGCTGTGCATGTGACATCTAGTACGGCCCTTAACCACACTGGGTTACAATCAGGTTTATGTCTCTTCAACCAGACTGCAGCTTCTTGAGTGCAAGGAAGCCATCCTACTTACTTCCAGATACATTCTCAACGTTGGCTCTGCAGCAGAATCATCCGAAAAACTTTCAAAACATATACCCATTAGATGCTCCCCTTGACGCACAGTATAATAAGCCTTGACACTGACATTCCCTGTTGTATATTTAAGCACCACCCCTACCTAGTGACGATAGTAATGTATAAAGCTTATTGTAAATACTTTTATTTCTCATAATTATCCGCAATTTTCAGACACGGAAATTGAGGCAGAGAGAGGCAAAATAACCAATCCGTGGATTTCCCTGGCAAATCTGTTTACAATGCAGTCTATGGCCTACATCTAGGTTTAAACTCATCGCATTCAAGAGTGACATTATATAAGTTATGGTTCCTTTGCCTAACCCATCCTACAGAATTCAAAGGGCTCTCCGACCCAAATCCCACACTGGCCTATCCATCTCGGTGCTGGGTTTCAACACACACACACACACACACACACACACACACACACACACACACACA